TAGACACAGGAGCTCAGCACTCGGTCCTGACAACAACTGAGGGACCTATGAGTTCCAAAACAGCCTGGGTCCAAGGGGCCACCGGAGGAAAAACATACAGATGGACCACAGAAAGAAAAGTGGACCTCAGCACAGGATGAGTCTCCCACTCGTTCTTATTGGTCCCCGACTGTCCATACCCTCTTCTTGGGAGAGATTTACTCTCTAAGCTGAGAGCCCACATCCATTTCACTACAAAGGGAGCTACTGTAAAAGGAAAAGATGGAGCTCCACTACAGGTATTAACCTTGCGGCTAAAAGATAAACATCGGTTATATGAGGGACCAATAGCAGGATATCTGGTATATCTGATTGGCTAAGTAAAACCCCCTCGGCATGGGCCAAGACAGGAGGCCCAGGACTAGCATACAACCAGCCTCCAATAGTGGTTACACTAAAACCATCTGCAACTCCGGTTTCAATCAAACAATACCCTATGAACAAAGAGGCCCGAGAGAAAATCAGGCCTCACATCCAAAGACTTTTACAAATGGGAATACTTCACCCTTGCCAATCCCCTTGGAACACCCCGCTGCTCCCCGGGAAAAAGCCAGGGACAGATGATTATCGACCAATTCAAGACTTAAGAGAAGTCAATCGGAGGATAGAAGATATCCATCCTACTGTTCCTAATCCCTATAATCTCCTGAGTTCTTTACCTCCTAGTCATAGGTGGTATACTGTACTTGACCTGAAGCTGGAATATCAGGACAACTAACCTGGACGCGACTTCCCCAACGATTCAAGAACTCCCCTACTCTGTTTGATGAAGCTCTACACCGTGACCTGGCTGACTTTCGGAGACACATGGGACCAGGGAAGACCTCACTGACCAGCCCCTAACAGATGCAGATGCCACCTGGTATACGGATGGGAGCAGTTTTCTGCGAAACGGTGAACGTAAGGCGGGGGCGGTGGTGGTTGATGGGAAAAAAAATAATTTGGGCCCAAGCCCTGCAGGCTGGAACTTCAGCCCAACGGGCTGAATTAGAAGCCTTAACCCAGGCCCTAAAATTAACAAAGGACAAAAAGGTCAACATTTACATCGACAGCCGCTATGCGTTTGCCACAGCCCATATACATGGGGAAATTTACCGGAGGCGGGGACTCCTCACCTCGGCTGGTAAGGACATTAAAAACAAAGAAACAATAATGGCTCTTCTGCAAGCCTTGTACTTGCCAAGAAAGGTCAGCATTATCCATTGCCCTGGACATCAGCGAGACCAGGGGCCGATTGCTCGGGGCAATTGGATGGCAGATGAAACTGCCTGTCAGGCAGCGGAAGGTACTTGTATGGACTGCCTAAGGTAACTACAAAGGGTACCCCAAGGAATTTGTTAAATCATGCTTTATATATTTTGAACTTCCTCACCCTGGACTCTGAAGGCAAGTCTGCAGCAGATCGTTTTTGGCACCCTGAATCTCAAAAACAATATGCCATGGTAAAATGGAAAGATCCTCTAGATAATTCCTGGCATGGACCAGACCCAGTCTTGATCTGGGAAAGAGGATCGGTGTGCATATACTCACAACAGCATGATGCTGCTAGATGGCTCCCTGAAAGACTGGTAAAACAAGTTAACCAAATACCCGCCAGGGAGGAAACTCCTTGAGAAAACAATATATTTTTCTTTCAACAGGTCCTGAGCACATGAACCACTCCAGCTGGGAATTAGTCGCCATCATCATCATCTCTGCAGCCTTGATCATCCTTGTTGCCATCATCACATTGGTACTCATTGACCTTGCTTAAAAGCTGTAACACAACTTCTCACGACGCAGCTAACTCTACTCCTCAGAGAGATCTGCCTGCTCCTGACAGCGAGATGCCTGCAGGTTTATTCAGCTCCATGGTACAATCCTCATGTGCCTATGCAGCTGACATGGGTGGTAACAAATCCTGAGACGGGCCATACACTTCGGCTCGCCAACTAAAACCACTCGAACTTGTTGGTTCTGCTATGATGCTTCCAGAAAACCTATAGATTTTATGATTAAAATCTTGCCATAAGAAAAGGGGAGAATGATGGAATCAAACCAAGTCCCCCCAGACCAAAAGAAAAATATTCTGAAAAGTTGTACAAGGAAATAAGATGTAAAATAATTCTAACTGCTGAGAAAAAGCATGCTGTGTCCTTGGCTGTTCTGCTTTAGTGCTTGTCTTCATTGCTGTCTTTATTCCTGTTCCTTCCTCATAGAAGAACTGCTTTGTACCTACTCAGGTCATTAGGCCCACCTAGAGAGAGACTAGATACGGATGATTTCCTGGGAACTCAGTTTCCTGGTATTAGACTTCCCCCTCCCACTACTGCTGCTCCCCCCCTCCCACTTCTGTCACTTGTAGTTTGTGGGTTTTGCCTTTAAAAGAAGCCTGTGAGCTGAGCTCTTGGCTGCTGCTCTCTCGAGTGAGGCAGAAGCCCGTCTGCGCAAACGATTAAATCCTCTTGCTTGTTGCACCTCCTGGTCTGAGGACTGAGTTATTGGGGTGCGGCCTCCCGTGGACATTGGGTACCCCTGCTTGGGGGTCCTACAACCCATGTCGTGCAATGCCCTCAGAGGTCAGAAGGGGCTGTCAGATCCCCTGGGATTGGAGCTACAGACAGTTGTTAGCTGCCATGTGGGTGTTGGGATTTGAACTCAGGTTTTCTGTAGCCAGTGTTCTTAACTGCTGAGCCATCTCTCCAGCCCTGCCAGAAATAAATTTTAAGTTTTGTTTTCTAAAAGAAGGCCAAATATGTAAGCAATGTCAGCACCCAGAAGCCGAGGCTATATGGTAGGAGAGACCCTTTCTCTGAAAAACAAAATAAAACTCAAAACAAAAAAAACATAAGGCCAGGTGTGGTGATGCATGCCTTTAATCCCAGCACTCAGGTATGCAGAGGCAGGCCAACCTGGTCTAGTTCCAGGTCACACTACAGAGAGACTTTAAAAAAAAAAAAAAAAAAAAAAAGAAACAAATGAGGTGTAGCTCATTAGAAGAGTTTTCTACCACTTGAGACCCTGAGTTCAATTCCAAGTACCATACAATTTTTAAAAAGGAAAGGAAAACAAATAAAAATGGACAAGACTTAGACCATACAAACCTACCTTTACTTTCAAGTTTTTCATCCACTTTGACATTGCCAGGGAATCCATTTTCTATAAGACAGTGTTCAATAAGAGCTGGCCCATAGGCTAAAAACAAAAGGTACTATTTTTAGTATTTTCTTATAGAATGACATTTAAAACAGTATAACTTTATATGCCAATAGAATGATCTACTCAAATAAAAGTATCCAGTGAAAATAATTTTACTTCTTTTTAAATAGTATTAGAATTAACAAGTGGGAGTTTGCGATTACAATAAACGAAATAAATCAGTCCAAGTTATAGGTAGTGATAGCATTGAGCCATATATATATAAGATTGTAAGGGCTGGATATGTAGCTCAGGGGCAGAGCCATTTGCTTAGCACACATAAGACCCTAGGTTTGATCCTCTGCACCACAAAGAAACACATTATAAAGGAAATTACAAACTATGGCCAGGAGGGATTTATCCCCCAAATTCAAGTCATTTGGCATTAGAAAATTGACTAATGTCCCAATTAACAAATGAGCAATATGCCTAAACAAACATTTCTCAAAAGATACAAGCAGCAGCAGCAGTTGGACAAGGAAAGACTTTGCACACTGTTGGTAGGAACATATACTAGCAAAAACATTATGTATTAATGGAGGCTTCTCAATAAAGTAAAAACTGAACTACCATACGATCCACTGTGGGTCTGGATCCTGAGAAGTGAAGTTAGCATGACAAAGACACTTCCACTTCCACTATACTGTAGGATATTCACAGAAATGGAAACTACCAAAATGTCAATCAACTGATGAACAGATAAAGAACTACATGATTTCATGCATATGTGGAATCTAAAAAGGTTGGGGCTGGAGAGATGGCTCAGCGATTAAGAACACTGGCTGTTCTTGCAGAAGACCCGGGTTCAAATCCTAGCACCCACATGGCAGTAACAAACTATAACTCCAGTTCCTGGGGATCTGACAACCTCTTCTGTCCTCCTCGGGCACTGAATGATACAGTGTACTTACCTACATGCAGGCAATACATGCATACACATAGAATAAAAATAATAAAATATTAAAAAAAAAAAGTTAATCTCAGAAATTGAGTGGTTGCCAGAATCTGAGAATAGTGATAAGAGGTCAGGTGGCTAGTGTGTACACTGAAATACAGTTAAATGGAACATAAGTTCTGGTATGCCACTGCACAGAGAGGTGATTACAGAGAACAATGATAAATGTTTGAAGGCACAGGTATGTATATACAATATATAGATATTATATATATTATAAAATATATACAATAAATGTTAATTTTATATACAATATATAAAAAAATAAATGTTTGAAGGGATAGGTATGTATATACAATATATACATGTATCAAAATATCTTGTTACCCTAATAATACATATAATTTTCGGGGGGGCTTTTTTGAGACCCTGGCCTCAACTCACTATGTAGACCAGACTGGCCTTGAGCTCACAGAGATCCACCTGCCTCTGCCTTCTGAGTGCTGGGATTAAAGGCATGTGCCACCATGCCCAGGAAGTTTAAAATATTAATTTAAGGCCAGGAGTGGTGGTGCATGCCTTTAATCCCAGCACTCAGGAGGCAGAAGCAGGCGCATCTCTGTGAGTTCAAGGCCAGCCTGGTCTACATAGTGAGTTCCAGGACAGCTGGGGCTATAGGGAGATCCTGTCTCAAAAAGACCAAAAAAAAAAGTAATTTAAGTTGGGCATGGTGAACATACTTGTAATCCCAGCCTTCAAGAGGCTGAGGGAACAATATCACAAGTTAGAACTCAGCCTGGGCTACAACAGTAAGAGATCTCAAAATAAAAATAATACCTAGACTCTCCACAACAAGGCAGGTGGGTGAGGTGGCACACACCTTTAATCCCAGCATTTAAAAAAGCTTGGAGAGGCCAAGCAAGCCTTAATCCCAGCACTCTGGAGGCAGAGACTGGCAGATCTCTGAGTGAGGTCAGGCTGGTCCACAGAGCAAGCTCCGGGCATTCTGGGGCTATAAGGAAATCCTGTCTCAAAACCAAACCAAAACAAAAAAACTCAAGGTAAATTTAAATTACAGGGAAAAGGCTAGCTAATGTGATAAACCATATAAATAATGAAAACAATACATTACTGAGACATAGAAAAAGTGTCTGAAACTCCAACACCAATTTCTAATATAAACTGTCAATAAAGGAACCCTCATTTTGCTAATGGGTACCTATAAAAACCCTACAACTAGCTTTCTCCTGCAGCCCTCGGGTGCTCAGGTGGGTTCAAGATTCAGCTCTACCCATAATCCACTGCCATAGACGAGGACGGCATTGCTGCTGGAGGTGTGATGGATGTTAACACAGCTTTACAAGGGTGCTAAAGACCACCCTCATCCACGATGGCCTCGCATGTGGAATTCACGAAGCTGCCAAAGCTTTAGACAAGCGCCAAGCCCATCTCTGTGTGCTTGCCTCCAACTGTGATGAGCTGATGTATATCAAGTTGGTGGAAGCCCTTTGTGATGAGCACCAAATCAACCTGATTGAGACTGATGACAAGAAGCTAGGGGAATGGGTAGGCCTCTGTGAAATTGATCGAGAGGGGAAGCCCAGGAAAGTGGTTGTCTGCAGTTGTTTGGTGGTTAAGGACTATGGCAAAGAATCTCAGGCCAAGGATGTCATCGAGGAATACTTCAAATGCAAGAAATGAACAAATAAAAAGTTTGGCTCATTTTTTCTTTAAAAACAAAACAAAATGAAAAAACCCCACAGCTAGAACCATACTTATTATTAAAAGATCAATGTTTTCACCCTAAGACCAGGAAAAAGGCAAGAATATTCATTTTTATTACAGCTATTCAGCATTGTACTGGAGGTCACATCTAGTGCAATAAAAAAGAATTAAGTATTCAAAGGCATTCAGATTTGAACAAAAAAAGCTTTCTTTTTCCTCAGAGAATATGACCATATATGTTAAAAATGCCGAAGAAAGATACAATATGAATACACACACTCAAACTTCTAAACTAAGTGGTTTTATCAGTTTTGCAAAATACAAAATATATAAAAATATCACTTGTGCAGCTGGAGAGATGATTCAGTAGTTAAAAGCATTTGCTACTGCCGGGCGTGGTGGCACACACCCTTAATCCCAGCACTCGAGAGGCAGGCGGATCTCTGTGAGTTCAAGGCCAGCCTGGTCTATATCGTGAGTTCCAGGACAGCTGGGGCTACAGGAAGACCCTGTCTCAAAAAGACCAAAAAAAAAAAAAAGCATTAGCTACTATTCTAGAAGACCCAGGTTTGGTTCCCAGCACCAAAATAGTGGCTCATAACCACTCTAGCCAAGGAATCCAACACCCTCTTCTGGCCTCTTCAGGCACCCCCACAGAACAGACATACATGCAGGCACTCACACATACACATAAAATAAAAATAAACACAACTTTTTTCTTTGTCTTTTTTTTTTTGTTTTGGTCTTTTTTGAGACAGGGTCTCCCTGTAGCTCCAGCTGTCCTGGAACTCACTATGTAGACCAGGCTGGCCTTGAACTCACAGAGATCCGCCTGCCCCTGGCTCCCAAGTGCTGGGATTAAATGCGTGCCAACCATGCCCAGCTTTTTTGTCTTTTTGAGACAGGGTCTCCCTGTAGCCCTAGATGGCCTGGAACTCTCTATGTAGATCAAGCTGGCCTGGAACTCACAAGAGATTTACTTGCGTCTGCCTCCCCAGTGCTGGGATTAAATGTGTGCAACCCCCCCCACCCCGATCAAATAAACAAATCTTTTAAAAAAATGTATCAACTGTATTCTTAACCAAAAACAAAATTCAGAAAACAATTCTAGGGGCCAATGAGATGGTGCAACAGGTAAAGGGTGCCTGCCACCAAGCCTGACAACCTGAGTTCAATCCCCAGGACCCACATGGTAAAGAAAAGACTTACAAATTGTTCTCTGACCTTCACTGTGGACCATAGCACCCCTGTGCCCCCCTCCACAAAATAAATAAGAAGATAAATTTAAACAACACAAAAAGAAAAAAAAAAGGCATTTAAAGAAAATAAAATGTATACACTGAAAACTATAAAATACTAATTAAATTTAAAAAATAAAATAAATAACCCCAGCTTCAAGGCCTAAAAACAATATCAATGACCAGCACCGAAAACAACATTGGTGTAGTAGTGGCACTTTTATCTTGGGGGTAATCAACTGCTATCTAATTAGACTTAAAGCCCACTCAATGGGAAGAAACTCATGTGTGGTACTATAAACCTAGCCAAATACAAATATCTGGAGAAGTCATAGACCTTACAGAAAACTCCAAGGCTGTCACATCCATAAGCAAATGTAATATGGATCCTTAAATTTATAGACAAATATCTCAGTCACCACCCATCAAAGAAGCTTCTTTTTCAAGAGACAGAAATAGTTACAGAGTTCCACAACTGGTCACACACAGAGATTGTGAATTGCCCAAGCCTAAGTGGCATTTCTAGGATGCAACCTCTACAAGGCTCATGGAACAAGGGATGAAGAGAACATGAATACACCTTTCAGTTCTCATCAGTGAAGCTCCCTCATGCAACAGAGGGCCAGAAAACTCAAAAGGTCACAAATGGCCAAAATGCAAAGTCTGCAGAGTATGGGTCCTTGGACAGGACTCCTGTATTAAAATCCGCCCACCCAGGGCTCATGGATCATTACAGAAGAGGGGGGCGTAAAGACTGTTAAGAGCCAGGGAGAAGGTGCATGGCCATGATTTAAATATAGACTGACTAGATCCCAGTAGATGAACTTGCACTGAGGTACATCTTGGGACACTAACTTTACATGATAGGCCTTAACACAAATGATGAAAGGTATGATCTCCAGTAGGGGTGGGGGTGGGGGCTATAGGAGGGTGCCAAAGGGGAAGGGTTATAAAGATGATTTTCTGCATGAAATACACAAAAATTCAATAAAAAAATTTTAAAAACTAAATAAATGGTGAGACATTCTTTGTTCAGAGAAGACTCAATATAATTAAAATAGGAATTCTCCCCAATTAACCAACCTGAAGAATCAATGTAATCCTCCTTAAAAGTGCTAGCAGTCTTTTGTTCTTGTTGTAGAAAATAAGCCAATTCTAAATTATAAAATGAAATGTAAAGGATAGTCAAAGGCTTTCAGGAAAAAAAAAAAAAAAGATAGAACTTAAAAAAATTTAAACTACACAATTTCAAGACCATAGGTGTCTGCCAGAATAAAACTGTGACAGGAGAATCACCATGAGAAAGCCAGCCTAATCTACATAAGTTTGAGGCCAGTTGAGCTATGCAAGACCCTGCCTCAAACAAAACAAGAAACAAAAAAGAACCTAGCAAAGCTGAAGATATAGCTCAGTGGTAGAGAACTTGCCTAGCATGCCTGAGGCCCTGGGTCAAATCCCCAACACACACACACACACACACACACACACACACACACACACACATACACACGCAATCTGGAAGATGCTATCAGCCCTGAAGCCTACCAATTTTGTGAAAAGCTAAGCTAACTGGTTATTAAGATGAGCCCCCAAGTGATTGCTAGGAACTGAACCCAGTTCTGCTCTGCTTCCTGCTCTGTAAAAGCAGTAAGCACTCTTACCCACTGAATCATCTCTTCAGCCCCTGCTTTTATTTTATTTTATTTATTTATTTTTTGAGATAGGGTCTCCCTGTAGCCCCAGGTGGCGTGGAACTCACTTTGGAGACCAAGTTGGTCTCGATTTCACAAAAATCTATCTCTGCCTCTGCATCCTGAGTGCTAGAATTAAAGGCATGCACCACCACATTCAGCTTCCTGTTTTTATTTTTTGAGACAGGTATCATATATCCCAAACTGGTCTTGAACTTACTATAAAACCAAGGGATAATCTTGAATGTCTAATCCTCCTGTCTTCACTTCACAGGAGTACTGGGATTACAGGTGTGTGCCACCAAGCCCGGTATTATGTGATACTGTGGATTATACCCAGAGCTTTGTGATAGCTAAGCACACATTCTAGTAACTGAGATAACATACATCTCTAGTCCCATCTGCACTGCTTTGAAATAAAATCTAACCAACATAAAAATCTCAAACTTTATCTGGCACAACTTTTCTTTTAGGGCAATGCAGCTCAGTGGTAGATACTTGCCTAGCATGCACAAACCCTTGGATTAAATGACAAATTAAAAAACAAAAACAAAAACAACACAAAAAACTTCTTTGAAACTAAAACTCCACTTACTCAAAATATCCTTTTAAACTCCTTATTCAGAGTTTTAAAAAGATTTATTTTTATTTATCTGTTTGTCAGATCCCCTGGAACTGGAGCTAGAGGTGGCTGTGAGCTGCCCAACATGGGTGCTGAGAGTTGAATTCAAGTCCTCAGCAAGTGCTCTTACCAGCTGAGTCATGTCTCTAGCCTTCTTGTTCAAATTTTTCATCAGAACATAAAATATTTAGATATATTCCTGAAGACACTATCACATTATTTATTGTTATATGCAGGATTACTCACGAAGTAATGGGGTGAGAACTCTCTTCAGTAGTTCACCCTTGGGAGCATTAGCTATTACTTCAGTCAATCTGTAAAACAAAACTGACATTTCTTTAATTATCTTCTATTTACAAACCTGATAGCAGTATTCATATCCACACTACTTTCACATATAGCAATTCATCTAATCTTCACAAGACACTGAAATACAGCAGAAATTATTCCTGTAAGCATGAAAAATGGGTCATAACAGTAATTTATTCACGGAGCTAGAGAGATGGTCAGCAGTTAAGAGCATTTGTTATTCTTTTTTTGTTGTCATATTTTGAAAAAGGGTCTCCGGATAGCCCCAGCTGGCCTAGAAATTACGATGCAGACCAGGGTGGCCTCAAAATCAGAGATCCCCTGCCTCTGCTTGGCTTAAAGGCATGCACCAGCCACCATGTACAATGTACTTGCTGCTCTTGCAGGAAACCTGAGTTGGGGGTCTCAGCACCTAACTCAGGCAAGTTCCCTGTAACTCCAGCTCCAGGGGATCTTATGTCCCCTTCTGATACTCACACACACATGAGCACAATTCTTTCTCACACACACAAACATTTTTTCTTTATTTTTTCTTTCAGAGATAGGGTCTCCCAGACTGGCCTCAATCTCAGAGAGATCCACCTGCCTCTGCCTCTGGGAGTTCTGGGATTAAAGATGCGTACCACCACACCTGGTTATGTATGTGAGTACTAAATGACACTGGTGTACCTACCTACGTGCAAGTGATACACTCATACACATAAAAAAATAATTTTAAAAAACCCTTAAAGACATAAATTTGCTCTTCTCGAAGTTTAATTGCTTACATGAATGTTTATCTAGTTCAGTCTAAATTTAGTTACAAATAAACTTTTATTTATGTGTATGAGTGTTCTGGCTGCATGTAAGTGCACCTTACTATGCTCATGGAGGCTAGAAGAGGGCATTAGATCCCCTGGAACTAGAGTTACAGATGGTTGTTAGCAGCCATGAGGGTGCTGGGAACTGAAGCAGTTAGTGCTTTTAACCACTAATCCATCTCTACAGCCCCCAAATAAACATTTTTTAACTGAAATGTTTTCATTTCATTTTCATTCTGAAACATGACCTGGTTTACCTTTCAGTACAATATGGTATGAGTATATAAACAAAGGAGTCACCTTTCCAAAGTAAGTAAAGGTTCAGCAGCTCGAGCAAGATCAACTGGATAGCGTTCACGCACAGCAAACTTAACATCATCTGAGTCATCAGTTCGAAACCTTAGGATATTTAAAATGAGGTACTCATAATCTGTAAGAACAATGTTCCCCTGCAATAGAGTAAAATATAATTGTATGCTTTTCAAATCAGTATTGAATTTTTTTTTTTTTTTTTTTGAAAAAGAGTCTCCCAGGAACCCTAGCTGATCTATTCTTTCTATTTTATATGTATGAGTGTTTTGCTTACATGTATCAAAGTACATGTATATGCTGTGCTGGCCACAAGAGGGTGTCATATCTCCTAGAAGCTGGTGTTATCTGCTACAAGGGTGCTAGGAACTGAATCTGAGTCCTCTGCAAGAGCAGTCAATGCTCTTGAAACTTCTTTTTCAGTCTTTTTGAGGCAGGGTCTCCCTGTAGCCCCAGTTGGCCTGTAACTCATTTAGTAGACCAGGCTGGCCTTGAACTCACAGAGATCCACCTGCCTCTGTCTCCCAAGTGCTGGATCTAAAGGCGTGTGCCACCACGCAAGATAAGCTCCCAACACTCAGGCCAATTGGAGCTACACAGTAAGACCTTGTCTCAAAAAAACCCAAAACCTAAAAAAATTTTAAAACATCAATTAAATAAATAATTCTTCCCCTGCTAAACTACTTTTGTGATTGTGTTTCTTTTCCCAGAGACTGTCCTACAGGGAATATATTCAAAAGATTATTTTTTATTAGTGTGTGTATGAGAGGGGGTATGATGTGTGTATGGGGGGGGTATGCATGTGCCATGGTGTGTCGTAAAGGTCAGAGGACAACTTTATACAGTTATTCTCTTCTTACACCTTTACCTGGGTTCTAGGAAATGAACTGAGGTCTTCAGGCTAACATGGAAGGAACTTTAAACCACCACTGAGCCATCTCATCAGCCCTAATTTATTGTTAATTTGTAAACTCAGTTTCTTAAGATGATTCTGAGTTGCAGTAAGCCTTTTTCCACAAAGTCTAATCAACTTTGGGTGTACCGTACCTCAACATTCCAGACATGAAAGCTAGAAGATCAAATTCTGGTGCACAGAAAGGAAAGAGCAAACTTGAACATCTATTTTTAGGCCGGGCATGGTAGCACGTGCCTTTAGATCCAGCACTTGGAAAAAAGAAAATCTATTTTTAAGTACTAAGTACAGTTCACAGATACGACTTAAGAAAATTCCAAGCACACTCTTTCAAGTATTTACCCCCAGCTTATCACTAACTAGATAGTATGTATGCCTACTGCTCAAATCCTCCAAATGCAAAGTATCTAAAGTCAATATGATACCAGAACAGAAAAAATAAGTGGAGTCACTGGTGAAATCTGTTAAAGTCCATAGTTCAATTTAATAGTATGTACCACTGTTAATTAGTTTTAACAAAAATGTTAACATTAAAAGAAACTAAGTATAGGGTACCCAAGAACTTTGTGTTATCTTCAACTTTTAAGTCAAAAATTATTTAATTTTTAAAAATACTTTATTTTTTTTAATTTTATGTGTATGAGTATTATGCCTGCATTGTAGGTAAGCGCGCCTATGTTGTGCAATGGCCATGGAGGACAGAAGAGGCTATTGGATCCCCTTGGAACTGGAGTTATGGACAGTTGTTAGCTGCCATGTGGGTGTTGGGATTCAAACCCGGGTCTTCTGAAAGGACAGTGTTCTTAACCACTGAGCCATCTCTCCAGCACCCTATTTATTTTTACATATGTATACGTACATGTGTGTGGGTGCTAGTGGACGCCAGAAGAGGGTATTGGATCTTTTGGAGCTAGAGTTATAGGCGATTATGAGCCACCAGCAACGGATGCACAGAACAAAACTTGGGTCCTCCACAAGAACAGCAAGCACTCTTAACCACTGAACCATCTCTCCAGCCCCAAGTCCAATAGTATTTCTATATAAAAACAGCTGCTTAGGGGCTGGAGAGATGATTCAGTGGTTAAGAGCACTGAGTGCTCTTGCAGAGGGCCAGGGTTCAGTTTCTAGCACCCACATGGAGTCTGTAACTCCAGTTCCAGGGGATCTGATACCACTGTACACATGGGGTGCACTTATATACATGTAGACAAAACACTCACACATTAAATATTTAAAACAAAACAAAATGAGCAGCTACTTAGACTGTAAAAGTAATAAAAATTCCAGTACTATTTAATGCAAAGGCGTTTTACATATCATATGATCAATATGTGATAGTTTTTAATCACACAGATACCATATACACCTAAAAAAGCTGTAGGTGGGGGCTGGAGAGATGGCTCAGTGGTTAAGGGCACTGATTGCTCTTACAGAGGACCTGGGTTCGATTCCCAGCACCCATACGGTGACTAACAATTGTTCATAACTCCAGTTCTAGGGGAATCCAAAGCCCTCTTATGACCTCCGCAGCATTGCACGACACGGGTGCACTCACATACATGCAGGCAATACAGTCATACACATAAAAAAGAGTTGTAGGTAAATTAAGAGACAGACAAGTGTTGGCAAAGCTGTCCAATTAAGGGAATTCTCAACATTAATGAAAATGACAAGGTGTGAATATGAACACCTTAAACAGTACTGGATAAAAGGCAGAGTGAAAAACAAACAGGAAATATGATTCTATTCCTTTTTCCCATCTCCCAGTTTAACTTACCCTATCATAGAGCTCAATGATCAAGTGATAAGCAGCTTCATCACTTCCAAATTGGAAATCCACAATTCTATCCACACCAAGCTGTTTTGCACTGACTAATCTCCGACTCTTTAAATGTTTTCGGCACTAGAAAGAAACAGATGAGAAAGGCATTTATGTAGTAAATTCCTGACTACTTGGTACTAGACTATGAAAAATTTCAAATCATCAAGAATAATATTTAAATGGCAAATGAAACAGTAGAGTCATAAAACAAAAGCTTGCAGGTATAATCAAAGTAAATATTTTTAGTTTTTTTACATTTTTAAAAAAAATTTATTATTTTTATTTTATGTGTATGTATGTATTGCCTGCATGTAGGTAAGTGCACTCGTGTCATGCAATGCCCGAAGAGGTCAGAAGAGGCTGTTGGATGCCCTGGGACTAGAGTTACGGACAGTTGTTAGCTGCCATGTGGGTGCTGGGATTCGAACCCAGGTCTTCTGTAAGAAAAACCAGTATTCTTAACCGCTGAGCCATCTCTCCAGCCCCAGTTTTTTTTGTTTTTTTTTTTAACATTTTTATTTATATATTTACTGTATGTAAGTCAGAGGACAACTCGCACAAATCAGTTCTCTGCATTCATCATGTGAGCTTCAAGGATTAAACTCGGGTCAACAGAATTTACAATAAGTACCTTTACCTGCTGAGCTACCTTGTCAGGTCACAGTGGAAAATAAATCTTTAAACCTTTATTCTAAGTAAGTAACTATAAATATATAAATTATTTGTCTTTTTGAGACAGGGTCTCCCTGCAGCCCCAGGTGTCCTAGAACTCACTATGTAGACCAAGCTGGCCTCAATCTCACAGAGATCCATCTGCCTCTGCCTCCCAAGTGCTGGGACTAAAGGCGTGCACCTCCACCCCAGTCAAAAAAAGTTTTTTCTTTTGAGACAGGGTCTCCTTGTTGCCCCAGCTGTCCTGACTATGTACTCACTATATAGACAGACCAGGCTGTCCTCGAACTCACAAAGATCTGCCTGCCTCTGCCACCCAAGTGCTGGGATTAAAGGTGTGTGCTACTACGCCCAGCAAAATTTTTCTTTAATAGTGAAATATTTGTTGCTTCACACTACTGCTTAATAAATATCTTATTTATGCCTCAATGATCTTCCTCAAAGCCCTAGCCTTTTTCTTATTTATGTGTGTGTTTTCCCTGCATGTAGGTAAGTGCTCCCGTGTCATGCAATGCCTGTGGAGGAAAGAGGACAGAGGAGGCTGTTGGAGCCCTAGGAACTGGAGTTATGGACGGTTGTTAGCTGCCATGTGGGTGCTGGGATTTGAACCCAGGTCTTCTACAAGAACAGCCAGTGTTCTTAACCACTGAGCCATCTTTCCAGCCCCCTAGCCTTTTTCTTGTGTACACTTCATAAGCATTGGGCTGGGCAAGAGTAAAAGTTCACTCTGCAGTCTTTTCTGTTGTGGTGCTCTGGATCACAATCCATGGCTCCATGCACGGTAAATAAGTACTCTACCATTTGAACCATATTCCCAGTCTGCTTAACTTTCAAAAATCTTTTACACCATTCTTTTAGTTATCTAAATGCTTTTTGGTTAAAAAAAAATTCTGTTGGTAGAGTGTTTGCTTAGTATGCATGAAGTCACGGGTTCATGCCTCAGAACCCCATTCTTGGTTTCATAGTGAGTTACTGGGCTACATAAGACCTTGTTTCACCCACTGGGTGTGGTGGCACACGCCTTTAATCCCAGCACTTGGGAGGCAGAGGCAGGCAGCTCTCTGTGAGTTCAAGGCCAGCCTGGTCTACATACTGAGTTCCAGGACAGCTGGGGCTACAGGGAGACCCTGTCTCAAAAAAAAAAAAGTCTGTTTTAGGGGCTAAGATACAGCTCAGTTAATAAAATGATTGTCTCCATACAGAAAGGTTCCATGCCCAGTACTATAAGCAGTCACCATGTGTCCTTTAGGCTAATCTAAGACTTTTTACACTTTCTAGAATTAAGAATCTTCTCTTTATAATTCGGTATTTTCATTTCTTTGTTTGGGTTATTTTAATTTATTCTTTGAGGCACGGGTCTTACTTCATAGCCCTGGATGGCCTGGAACTCACTCACTATGTTGACCAGGCTCACTTGGAACTCAGAACAGAGATCTGCTTGCCTCTGGCCTCCTGAGTGCTGGGATTAAAGACATGCACTACTACACCCAGATAATTATTTTAATTATCAATATTATTGTGTGTGTGTACAGGGGTGAAAGTGCACATGTGGGGGTCAAAGGACAACTTTGTGGTACTGGTTCTCTTTCTCTTTATGTGGGTTCGGGAAATTCAATTCAGGTTCTCAGATTTGCTTAAGCAACAAGTGCCTTCACCTTGCCAGCTATCTGTTATTTTTGTTCTTTTGAGATACAATCTTGTTATGTAGCTCTGGATAGTCTGGAACTCACTAGATAGACCAAGCTGGCCTTGAACTCAGGACAATATTCCTGCCTCAGCCACCCAAGTGCTTTGATTACAGGAGTGTACCACCAGGCCCAGCTCTTAAGAAGGTGGCCTATATTGCTAGGCATGTTGGTGGACACCTTTAATTCCAGCACTCAGGAGCCAGAGGTAGGTAGACCTCTTTGAGTTCCAGGCTAGCCTGGTTCACACAGCAAGTTCTAGGCCAGTCAGGGCTATACAGTGAGATCTTGTCTCAAATAAACAAACAAAAACCCAAACTAAAACATTAAGAGTAGCCTATATTGACTTTGATTTAAGTAGTGATCTACACGTAAGGCTGTCAGTAAATCCTATGGGGGGCTGTGGAGGGAGGAAGAGACCTATAGTCATTTTTTTCCTAGTTCCTCAGTAATGTTTTCATTAAAAAAAAAAGGGGGGGGATGCTGGAGAGATGGCTCAACAGTTAAGAACGCTGTTCTTGCAGAAGACCTGGGTTCAAATCCCAGCACCCACATGGCAGCTAACGACTGTCCATAACTCCAGCTCCAGGGGATCTGACAGCTTCTGCTCTCTGTAGGCATTGCACAACACAGGACAATTTACCTATGTGCAGGCAATACACGCACACACATAAAATAAAAATAATAAAATATTTAAGAAAATAGTAATAATAACAAGCAGAGAAAGAGTACATGGAAACAACCCCCATTACAACAGCTGCAAATAAATAAATAAATAAATAAATAAATAAATAAATAAATAAAATGCCTCAAAAAAAGTCTAAAAATATGCTTGACCAAAGACATTATAGATCTCTATAATTAAAATTTTAAGTCTTTGAAGAAAGAAATTGAGGGAGACACCAGGATATGGAGAAATTAATATTATGAGAATGACCATCTTACCTAAAGCAATGCAATGCCAATCAAAATCCCCATGACATTTTTCACAGAATTAGAAAAAAACCATCCAAAGATTCACATGGAAGCACAAAAGACCTCGATAGCCAAAGCAACCCTGAGCACTAAGAGAATACTGGGGGGATTACTATACCAGATATTATTAAACTGTATCTTTTAAGCTGTATTACAGAGCTATACTCATAAAAACAACATGGTACTGGCACAAAAATAGACTAATGGAACAAAATTGAAGATCCAAATATGAATAAATATACTTTTAGCCACCTGATATTTGACAAAGGGGCCAAGAACATTAACTGGAGGAAAGACAGCATGTTCAGCAAATGGTGCTGGCAAAACTGGATCTCCACCTGTAGAAGAAT